GTTATCGCATGAGGTGTGTGCGTGTTCATGCACCACTTTGAGTAGTGCAGCTGGCGCGTCAGTGAATTCTGGGGTCCCCAAAGCCCAGACGACCTGATGACCGATCAGCAACTGTCCGTCTCTTGCTGGAGCCAGAGGCGGCTCCCCGGCTACCCAGAGTACACAGACTCCTAGGACTACTTCAGAAAAAGGCTTTCAGGTGATTTTCCTTATTTTAATTCCTTCCCTTCACCCCCACACTTCCACGTGTAACCTGGGCTTCCAATTTCTGGAAGGATTCTGTGGTTTAAAACCAGGCTGCCTCTCCGCATTTTAGCGCAAAGGTTCAGATGAGTCTACTAAACCATAAGTCACCCAGCCATCTGATCCTCAGCTTCCAAACTTCTGTTGCTGCTGTCTCCTTTCACATTATCCCCATTCTTTATTTTATGCCTTGAAAAGTATCTTACTGTTGTTTTTCAGGTATTCTTGAGGTAGTTAAAGAAGATGGATGTGTTCAACCCACTACTTTTACCCATAACCCTTCAAAGCAACCTGCTTACAAAGTTGGCAATGTCTTAAGCCATAAATAAATGTGCTAGTAACAACTTGGGGTCAGTAGAGTCCACAGGACACTGTGGAACTAACAGTTAAAATGGAACTATAGGGCTGGAGATTTAGCTCAGTAGTTCCGCCACCTGCCACACAAGCACAAGGACCCGAGTTCAATCTCTGGTTTGAACAACAACAAAAAACCTATAAAATTAAGATATCACAAGAATTACTCTTAATATTTTTGCCTCTTAGTAGAAAAACATATGTTATTTGGTTTCCACATGTAAAACACATACAACAAAGCCCTGGAATAAGGGAATTAAAATTAAAAAGTGATTTACAAAACAGATCACTAAGCCCACGAATAAGAGTACTTTAACCATAAAGCTAAGAGGTATATAATTAATATTATCATGCTATCAAGTATACAACTGAGTTCCTAAGAGAAATATTCTACTGTTTCCATAAGGGAATACCAAAAGAAAGTTGAAGTTAAACTAAGAAAATTGGCAATTAAACATTTGACTTGATATTAGGAGAACAAGATGAATTTGTTTAAAAATACTTTACCAATTCTGTCTGAGACAGAAGGTAGACAAGGGCCAGATAACATCTTTTCCCTGGCCAAATATAGTTTATCGTCATATTAATATCTGCATTGTATCAGGGAGCCCATTCTCCAAGGAAGCCAAACCACCAATTTCATTTGTTAAAATGATTGCTGTGTTTTTCCTTGGCAGGTAGAACATATGTGTTTATGTACACTTCTATCTAAACCCTTTCATGTCCTGCCTCAAAGCACAGCTAAACAGTTTCATTGACTAAAGATCTCTGAAAACAAGAGACAAGGCAGTTAATACAGCTCTTCACAATTCACTTAACTGATCAGAAACATTTTAAATTATAGAGTATTAGGGAAGGGTTCAGAAGAGGTAACCAGCCTAATGCTAAATGATTATTTCTGAGTATATTTTAAAGCTGGATGATTTACAACTGGAATTATCTTAAATAATTTTGTTTTGCTAAAATATTAAAAATCACCAAAATACTCATATACTCATACATTAAAGAGGAAAAATTGTACTGTATTTGTGTTTAGATATTGAAGGTATTCAAAGTATATTTCAATAAAGAAAAACAATAGCTTCTTTAAAGTGCAAAACGCAATTATAAAGTTTCAAGATATGATCATTTAATTTCATACCATAAAGTAGCCAATTTATAATTTAAAATTCACAATCAAAAATATATGAATTACTGGAGTGAAGTGTATTAACATCAGCCAGACATCCCCAGTGGTCAGGTGATAGCTCTACGGAAAGCAAGTGACTTCACGCTGCACCTTGGAATTAGCATCCGCCACAGCCCAGCCCCAGGCTGCAGCAGGAATTTTCGCCCTGCACCTGCTGTGCCCCCTGCTGCTGGTTTTGTGATTTCAGGCTGCAAGTGCAGGGATCCCTCTTCGGATGGCCTCACTAATGCTCAGTATCTGCTGGGGCTTCTCCCTGAATCACGCTGCGTAGGAGGCAAACTTTTCCTACAGCTTCATAAGCAACTTTAAGGGCTTATGTTCTCCTAAGGTTTTTTATTGAAAGCCCATAGGAAATGAGTTTGATCCAGAATTTCCCTTCTATCAAAAAATTTGTAAACAAATACATGTTCAGATGAAATAGGCTTTTGTGTTTCAGCTAAAGAAATTAAAGAGACTCCTTAGAAGACCTACAGGATCTAGCCTTCGCTTGTTCTAACCAATAGTTATTTGCAGTATGCGGTGTCCTTTTGTCTTTACTTAGAAACATTACTTACATTAATAAGTTTTTAAGTTTTTCAAATCCAGTCTGAATTTTTTACATTTAAGATTTACATACTCCATGCATTCTTGAAAAATTAAGTCACTTTTGCCAATAAAATCATTTGAATTACCAAGAGAATTTGCTTTAAGAAAAAGCAGCAATATGGTTAATATTTCTCCTCCAGCTTTCTATTGCAAATCTAGTTTCCCACGTACTATATTTTAAATGTGATGCACACAAAATATAAAACAAGTTTAAATACAGTCCAGTGATAAAGTATATGCTTAGAGTTTGAATAATTTTACCAAAATTAATTTCAAAGTTGATGTAATACAGAATATTTGTGAGGTAAAATTTAAAATAAGCAAAAATTAAAAAGTATTTTTCTAGAGTCTTCAAAAAAGTAATTTTGAGAAGGTATGTGTTATAATTGTATTGTATAATACAGTGTTAATTTGTGGTCTCAGACTTTTTCCTAACTGTGAAGATAATCAGTGGATCTTTGTAGTAAATGAGTCTCATAAAAACATAGATAACAGAACTTCTTTAAATGAATGATCTCTCTATGATTCTTGAACAGCAGTTAATACAGAAAGCATAAAACCCCTAATGCAAGGTGCAGCTTAGAAAGGCTGTCTAGTTAATTGAGTTAATGAATCTTTTCTTAGAAATTTTTTAAATTCTTACATTTTCATATTTATATTCCTTGAGCTCCCTCGTTTTCTGGGTCCCTTACATTGCAAAAGTAGAACAGCCTTGCACGCTCTGTCCGGTTTCATCGAGAGGCTGTGACACTGAGGGCTGTTCGTGTGGCAGTGGTGAGGGCTGCACCCACTGAGCCGCGTCAGGGAAGCCAGGACCCAGCCAGGTTGGCTCTGGGCAGCGTGGCCCGTGAGGACAGCAGCTTGGTCCTGGAGAAAGCACCCTCGTTTACTTAGGAAGTACTAAACCGATAAAGGTTGCTGCACTGAAAGCTTACAAGATGCTTGGGCTTCATGTACCCATATTTCAAGCATCCATCCTGACTAGGTCAGCATTTCCCCGTAACTCGTACATTCTTTGTTTCCATGCTTTCTTGGGGTTCACAGAAATGTACAGAGCATTTTGTTTTCCGTGTCTGCAGCTGCACTTGAGAGGAGACGCTGGGCCCTGGTGCTGAGTTTTCTTCTCTAACCAGATTAGGCATCTTTCCTACTAAACCCTGACCGAACCAAGGCCTCACTAACGAAAACGCCAACCGTGAAATAACCAGATAGGGAAGATACATAAAATGCCTTCCTTTAAAAATAAAAAGTAGTTGTTGACAGTGAATTGTTACTGTAGAACTTAAATAACAACACCATGATGAAGCCAGTGACTATCTTTTGCCACTCGTACTGGAGATTAAACCCAGGGCCTTCAACAGAGCTGCATCTTCAGCCCTTTTTATTTTTTGTTTTTTAATTTTGGGACAGGGTCTTGCTAAGTCGGCCAAGCTGGGCTCAAACTTCCCATCCTCCTGTCCCAGGCTCCCAGAGTGCTGGGATTGCAGGCGTGCACCATGACTCTTTTCAATAAATAAACCTACTAATAACGCATTTGTGCTCAGGTATAACAACCTTCAATACTACGAGTTGTCTGTTATTGCATGAAAACTACTTAGAAATTGAGGCTTAAAACCACTCATATTCGTCAGCTCACATTTTCTGCAGGTTGAGGTTGGAGGGCAGCTTATTCAGAGTCCAGGTGAGGGGTGAGGTTGGTCAGGTGTCGCTCAGGGCTGCAGCTGTCCACAGGCCTCCAACGTCACGTGGCTGTGGGCTCGGGCCTCCCGGATGTTCTCTCCACTGTGGCCTCCCCGACAGTGAGCAGCCAGAAAGGGTGCGCAGAAAGCCCTGGCGCGTTTTATTACCTATTCTCTCCAGTTCCACCTCAATTCTGCTTTCCTTTTATTAACAAGAAATAAGAAATCCAGCCCTTGCTTAAAAATAGAGGCAATGAGGCAGGTGCGGCAGCACACACCTGTAATAACAACACTTTGAGAGACTGAGGCAGGAGGGCCACAAGTTCGGGTCTTTCCTGGCAACTTAGGGATGTTCTGTCTTAAAATAAAAAGGGGCTAGGGATGTCACTTAGAGGTAGGGTGACCTGGGTTCTACCCCCAGTACCTCCAAAATTAAGTAACCCCCAACCTTAATGAACTTGTGATGTTTTTTGGGGGGTTACCGGGGATCAAACTCAGGACTTTGCACTAGCAAGGCAGGCGGCTGCACCACTGAGCTAAATCCCTAGCCCTTGTGAACATAATTTAAATCATCATACACTTTCACAGCATTGCTGGGAAGGGTCTTACAAGTCATCAAAGCCATTTTTTCATGGGACCTTAAATTCTTTGCACCAGTCAGCAGGGGAAGTTAATTCGGTTTCAGTCTAGCTTTCCATCTACTGGACTGCTGCATCTCAGGGGTACCAGAGACCCTTAGCCCCTCTCAGCAACATAGCCCTTCTGCCTCTATCCCAACAGTTTGGGTAGCTGACTCCATAGGTCTCCTCCCCGCAAAACCAGTCAGACCATTTGTAAATTAGACGCGCTTGGAGTGAAAACTTGATTATGTAACTTTTTATAACATAGTCAAAATTTTGCCATAAAACTTCCATTCTATAGTATTTTCTTTCTTTCTTTCATAAATGAAGAGAGGATGGCTGTGTTTCTGTCCCAGCTCAAGCTGCCGGCAGCAATGTTGGCAGCCCAAGCTCACGGGAGGCCTGGGCCCCCCGGGAAGGATGGGCTACCCGGGCCACCAGGAGACCCTGGACCCCAAGGTAAGTCCTGCCAGGGGAAGACTTCTTTCCTAGATTTGTGACATGATAATTCCAGTTCGGAGAATATATATGTCATATACGATACGTGATATGGAATATCTTGCTAATATTTAATTTTTTAAAAGCAGATATTTAAGGTACAAATTGAAAACTGGTGACCTGCTACTTGAAATGCATTTTAATACTTAGGATAGCAGTAACAGCACTGAGGTATGTTTATTTCCTTATGTAGGGATCCTAGAGGTGTCTGTGTCTCCTTTTACTGTTAGGCCGTAAGACTTAAGTGTCTTAGGCTCTACTACAAATAATCATTTAGGTCTAAAGTATATGTTGGGGAAAATTTAGAACCCTTCTGTGATAGTAGAGCTTGTGGACAGTAACTTTTCAACTTGAATTGCTCATGTTGCTTCTAAAGGTATTAAAGCCAAATTTTATTTACATTGGCAAGAAAAAAAAATCATTCCACTAATGACAAGAAAAGTGAGCTCAAATTTGACTACTGGTAGAAGTATGGTTAGCAGTCCGTGAAGCTGCCAAGTAGACCTGGGTTCAGAAGATTCATAAATTCTGGTAAGGAAATAGCAATTTAGAGTAGATAGCACAAACTATTGAAAAGAAAAATACACTAAGAAACCGCCCATGCCAAAACTATTCCTAGGAATTTGGGCGAGGGCACAGGGCTGTTACCTCCGTGAGTTTGCCTTGAATTCTGCTCCAGAATCCATTTTCAGGTACTGTCTACTCAGAATTCCCCCCAGCAGGTTCCGCTTGGGAAGACTGCACTGCGTCTTCTCTGGAACACGGTGCACAGACATGGAAAAGCGGCCCCCGGCAAGCCAGTTTCCACGGGCCGAGGCAGGACAGGGAAGCAGCGCGGAGAAGTGTGAGAGCTCCCGGGGCGCGCGCCCAGGGCTCGGCAGGACTCACCAGATGAGGCAGGAGAGGAGCAGTGACCAGGACCCGGGGAACCCTGCGGTGGGGCTGTCCCTCCTGGGTGGTGAGCCAAGGCAGCGCCTCCACTCCCGACTGCTCTTAGGGAAGAGGGCGGGTGGCGCTGGAGAAGGCGGAACTTCGCTGCGCTGAGCTGGCTGATGAGAGAGGAGGAGACTTAAGGCCAAATGAGGCACATCCGATCCCATCGGAACTTCGCTGCGCTGAGCTGGCTGATGAGAGAGGAGGACCTCGCGGTCCTATCCGGCTGGCGGGCTGAGTGGCGGTGCTTTACCCGGAGACTGCAGAGGAGGAGACTTAAGGCCAAATGAGGCACATCCGATCCCCACACCTAGCCACGCGGCGCTTTCCAGGTGTCCTTGTGGGATCTCTCCACACCTGGTGGGCAATCCTTGTGCAGCGCCTGGTATCCACAGCTGAACAGCTAGAGGGGGTGGCTTCCCGAGGCCCCCGTGCTGATTACCAAACTTGAGGCGATGAAGGAAAACACACGTCACCTGATTATCGTGGACTACGAGGGTCAGCTGAGGCTAAATAGGGCATCGGGCACAAGATCCATCTGGTCTCAGTGTTCAGCCTCCAGATCATTCCAGTCTTTGTTAACTGGATACTCTGGTCCTCCTTCTCTTAGATCGTAAGGATGCTTGACAGATGGTTGAAGGGATGAAACAATGCAGAATCGGGTTCCTCCTTTGTACAGGGTGGTAATTGTTTTTTACTAGTTGCGTCTGTTCTGAAGACAGAGCATGTGAGGAAGGGAACAAAGATCTTGAAAGCCCATCTGGTGGTGCCTCCCTCCATGTGAGGAATGAGCGCTGTTGATACCAGTGGGAGCCGGGCGTGGTGGCGCACACCTGTAATCCCAGCACTCAGGAGGCTGAGGCAGGAGGATCGATCGCTGTGAGTTCGAGACCAGCCTGGGCTACATAGTGAGTTCCAGGTCAGTCTCAACTATGTAATGAGACCTGTCTCAAAAAAACTAATAAAATAAAATATAAAATAAAAGAGATACCAGTGGGAGAAGCATTCTGAACAGATCCTTCAAACACTGTTGACTCCACAGACCAAAACAATGCAGAATTGGGATGATCAAGGAAAACAGCTCCCACACTCTGATCTGGCTCCCGGCCCCTCCCAGGTGTTGGGAAAGCTGGTCTGGAAGGCTCTGGGTCACAGGCAATGGGGTCGCCTTGTTTGCGTTATTCCCGAAGAGGTGACCGTTGATGTCTTACTGAATGCAAAAGCATTTCCAGAGGGTTTTACTTCAGCCATTCTGGAGCGTCTGAGTATTATCTTCTCGCCTGCAGTGGGAGGAGACTTTCCCTGGTGTTCCTGGTTCACACTGCAGGTCTGCAGCCTGAGCCTGCCTCCTGGTGCCCCAAGGGAGAGCCTGTGTTCCACTCAGACCAAGGAGGCCCGGGGAACATCACCCAGCTGGGCTCTCCTCTCTAAATAGGAGAGGCAGACTTGTCCACCAGACATTACCTTCGTGGGTGAATTGAGAAGGAGCTTTAAACCTTTGCAGAACACAAGTGGTTCTCCACCACTGTGAACCTTTGGGAAGAGACTCCACACTGAAAAGCCCTGTTTATGTCCAGAGGAGCCCCCGGTAGGGTTAATAGAGAAAAAAAAAGAGAAAAGATACACCTACTCCAGTTTTTGAAGTTTTTGAAGGACAACACTGCAAGCAGCCGTTCCTACGTTTTCATTTGAAGCGTAGCTGCTTCTGGCTTGTAAATGAAGGAAAGCCGTCTGTAGTTTGTCACCCGCCAGCCCACAGGGTACTTATGTCATAGGCACACGTGGGGCCTTTCAGATCTGTCAGCAGAGGCACCTTTGGAAGTGGGAGAGGAGGCAGGAGGGAGGCCGTGGGACGGATTCACACAGGGCAGTGCGGAAGCCACAGACACGGGGACTTGTTCCCTCCCCACAGGCCAGCCGTGCCCTCCACCTGGCCCGTTTGTCCTGTGTACTTGTAGAGGTATGATTGTACAGTTCTAGAAGTAAATTTTCCTGCTGGAAAAATCCAGTCTACCCCGGAGAGATTACACCAAGCCCTACCTTTCATCGGCAGTGGCACCATGACCAGCCTGCCGGGGCCATTCCAGCCCTGCTGTCCTGCACAAGGTGCTGTGATGCTCCTACCCTGGGCCCTGAGAGGCTGTGGAATCCACGTCTCCTCCAAATGTGGAGATACTTGCCCTGCAGGAGGACAAAGCTGCATTCCAGAAAAGGAGGGCGTTCCTGTCTGGAGTTCTGTCACGATGCAATTCTAAAAGAAGACCCTATGGCTTTACAGCAGTCCTAATTAAAGAGGGTGGGACCTCACTGGAAAAGTCAAGGGGTGAAAGATCTCCCATGTGCCTGCAGTTCTGTTCTTTTAGCTCTTGCTACCAGGTAGTTATTAGTCTAACGAACTGAGAAATTTGTACAAAGAAATGGTTACATTTGACAGGGGGAGGAGAAATGTGACCTCATACAACTACACAAGTTATTGTTTCTTGTCACGTGACATTACATGGATTGCAAGCCATGTGGAATAATATATTTTGGCATATACTAAAATCTGAGGACTGATTTTCAGCATAAAGAAGGTTTTTTCAATATGTATGGTTCATTTGCAATTATCATATTTTCCAAAGTTATATATCTTTACTTATTTTTCTTCCCCACTTTAGCCTGTTATACTCAGCCTGAGTACTTACCTTATAGTCTTTGTGTAACGGTAAGACCTGCATTGAGCTATCCCATAAACCTCAGGTCATAGATGCAATTTTACTCTGGAAATGTTTAAATGATGGATTTGGAAGTGACCCTAGGTACAAACATCTTACCTTGCTGCTCAGACATGTTACATTAAAGGCGCTTATGTCAAAGGAATCCGGGAGAAGCTTTACACACGGATACACGTGTTAGAGCCCTTTCTCTCTAGGGTCTAGGACCACTGAACACCTTAAACACAGTTTTCAGACGTGAATGTGTGAAGACATCCAGCTCGATTCATTTCCAGTACGCACCCCACCGTATCTCTGCAGCATGTCTTTTTCTTCCGGTATTTTCACTTTTATGGTCAGATCTCATCTTGAACACAAAGAACTCCCAGTGTGGTGCCTGTGTGTCTGGTGGGATTCAGACCGCCATGTGGTCAGGTCAGAACAGAGACGGGGCTGATCCCTGGGCCCTGAGAGGCTGTGGAATCCACGTCTCCTCCAAATGTGGAGATACTTGCCCTGCAGGAGGACAAAGCTGCATTCCAGAAAAGGAGGGCGTTCCTGTCTGGAGTTCTGTCACGATGCAATTCTAAAAGAAGACCCTATGGCTTTACAGCAGTCCTAATTAAAGAGGGTGGGACCTCACTGGAAAAGTCAAGGGGTGAAAGATCTCCCATGTGCCTGCAGTTCTGTTCTTTTAGCTCTTGCTACCAGGTAGTTATTAGTCTAACGAACTGAGAAATTTGTACAAAGAAATGGTTACATTTGACAGGGGGAGGAGAAATGTGACCTCATACAACTACACAAGTTATTGTTTCTTGTCACGTGACATTACATGGATTGCAAGCCATGTGGAATAATATATTTTGGCATATACTAAAATCTGAGGACTGATTTTCAGCATAAAGAAGGTTTTTTCAATATGTATGGTTCATTTGCAATTATCATATTTTCCAAAGTTATATATCTTTACTTATTTTTCTTTCTTCCCCACTTTAGCCTGTTATACTCAGCCTGAGTACTTACCTTATAGTCTTTGTGTAACGGTAAGACCTGCATTGAGCTATCCCATAAACCTCAGGTCATAGATGCAATTTTACTCTGGAAATGTTTAAATGATGGATTTGGAAGTGACCCTAGGTACAAACATCTTACCTTGCTGCTCAGACATGTTACATTAAAGGCGCTTATGTCAAAGGAATCCGGGAGAAGCTTTACACACGGATACACGTGTTAGAGCCCTTTCTCTCTAGGGTCTAGGACCACTGAACATCTTAAACACAGTTTTCAGATGTGAATGTGTGAAGACATCCAGCTCGATTCATTTCCAGTACGCACCCCACCATATCTCTGCAGCATGTCTTTTTCTTCCGGTATTTTCACTTTTATGGTCAGATCTCATCTTGAACACAAAGAACTCCCAGTGTGGTGCCTGTGTGTCTGGTAGGATTCAGACCGCCATGTGGTCAGGTCAGAACAGAGACGGGGCTGGCTTCCCAGCAGCGAGAACTAATTGATCACAACGCTGCATTAAATTTCCTCCTGCTGCCATGCTCCGCGTTTCGTCATGAAATTATTTAATAAAAGCTCCATGGGTTGGGTTTTTTCCTACTGGCCTCTGACATGGAGTGGGGGTTACCATCCCTGAATCCATCCAGTCCTCGATTCGCAACAAACCTTTCATTTTCCTGCCTGAATACTTGTAGGTTTTGTTTTTATTCTTTAAGATGCTGCATACATTACTATAACAAAACAGAAACTGGCTTCTTGAAACATAGTGTTGCTGTTGATTTTTTGTAAAAGGTATATTATTGTTGTTGTTATTATTATTATTGTAGTCAGTCGCTGAAACGAAGAGGAGCTGACACATATGTCCATGGTCCTGCTGTCATTGATTGAATATCACCAGCTGTTTGTTCCTTCCTTCTGGGGCTGAGGTCCAGATTCTTAAATGATCCTGCCCTAATACTGAGCAGGCTCCTCTCTGCATTCTTCTCATTTAGCCCACAGCTAGGCTCTGGCCAGAATTCCTGCTGAAGAGGGTTCACACACCTTGTCAGAGCTATGTGAAAGAAGATAGGATCCGTGGGAGTCATTTAGGTGCCAAAACGCTCACTATCCAAAGTTGGACTAGTTGGGACTTTTTTACATTAGCTACACATTTTGAAGATCCTCCTTACCTAATCGGACTTGCAAGTCCAAAGTGTGGTTAATGCAAAACGGATAACTAATATATGATTTATGTAAAGAAATTACATAAACATCATAGACTCGGAAAATAGCCAAAATGCGTTGCATTGACACAGACCGACCATTCTCAACTGCTCTCTCTTTTCAATCTCTCAGGGTACCGAGGACAGAAAGGAGAAAGAGGGGAACCTGGAATCGGGTTGCCAGGGAGCCCAGGTCTTCCTGGGACTTCAGGTAATGGTGACACTGCCTTTGCGACACTAGGCTCAAAATGGGACCCGTCTTCCCTGCAGTCCTCATGTTAAATGGTGGCTGGAGGGAAAGAGGTCCCCGTGCGTCCTCTGCATTCTGATGAGATCTTTTATTTTATCAGCACTAGGCTCCCCGGGTGCCCCAGGGCCCCAGGGCCCCCCAGGACCCAGTGGAAGATGTAACCCCTCGATGGGATGTGTAGTGACTGGAAAACCAACCTATTTGCCTCAGAGATGAACAGGATCAGCAAATGCATTTTGCGAAGGTGACGGACGCCCCACAGCTCCTTTGGAGACGTTTCCTCAAAGGCCACAGGCTACGTGGGCCCTTGGCAGTTGACACAGGAGCCACCACTCATTCCCACGCTTGCTCGAGGACTGCCTGCATCCTGGGGCCCATGCCCATCAGCGGACAGGCGGAACGTGAGCACGCGTCAGGAAGGCTTGCTCCCTGGCCACACCTCCCTGCCACAGGGGCACACTTGGTTCTGTGCAACCCTCGTCTTGCGGGCTGCGTTGTTGTTCTGTTTCCTGGTGCAAGCCAGACACTGAAGCAACAGTCCGGATCCTGACACGACAATAATGTCACATCGGTAGCTGCAGGTTTTTCCAAATTCATTCTGTTTGTTTCCTTTATCATTTCTACAATTTTTATTTGGAGTTTTATATGAAATATGCAAACATCTTGTTATTAGTTCCTTGAAGTCACATCATATGATTTGACAGACTGCTGATGATGTACACTTCTCAGACTCATCAGCATGCGCTGACCTTGGGCATCTGGATTTTAAACCTTCAGACTTTTACTGAAGTTTCCTTAGGGTTTCAATTTACTATCATTGTTAACAATATTGTCAGTTTTTTGCAGATAGCTCATTGCTCCTGTTGAGTTTTTGACTGCTTTTTAAGACAAGAATTTTCATCCTCCTGCATCCCTCCTACTTATGCAGAAAATATACATAGGCAATAAGAACTTCATTTTGTGACTTATGTTTTGGAAATAATACAGGTGATTATTTCATCAGGAAACCTAAAACTCACCATAGCCAACAAAAAAGTGATTTTGTGATTCTTTGTGATGAGCTCAAGATGAAGCAATCACCACTGGCATGAATACGTACTTCATGAGGGGGAAAAGGAACAAATTCAGATTGTTTAGGATTTCCACAAGAAAACCTGACATTCTGGTCTCTTTCTCTTTGATGAGCAATGAAAGCTGTTTCCCCTAATAACTGTTCCTCGGCACTCATGGAGCCTAAATAGCCTGGCAAGACAGTTGGGCCCCGCAGCCATATTCTTCTGAGCCCATGACCCTCGGACTTCAAGACAAGAGCTGGCCATCAAGGGCCGGGGATGTAGCTCAGTGGCCCTGCGCCTGCCTGGCAAGTGGAAGGTCCTGAGTTCGATCCCCGGTACTGGAAAACAAACAAACAACAACAAAAGAATTGGCCATCAAAAGAAACGATGGGATGTGTAGTGACTGGAAAACCAACCTATTTGCCTCAGAGATGAACAGGATCAGCAAACGCATTTTGCGAAGGTGACGGACGCCCCACAGCTCCTTTGGAGAAGTTTCCTCAAAGGCCACAGGCTACGTGGTCCCTTGGCAGTTGACACAGGAGCCACCACTCGTTCCCACGCTTGGCCTCAGAAAGGAAACAGAAAGCAGGTCACCAAGCAAATTACCACACAGTGTCTCAGCGCCTGCCTGGACATCATCTGGGGACACCCGGGCTGACAGCCACTGAGGGCGAGCACACCCACGTGAGGCCATGGCTGGGGTCCAGCTGGCAGGTCCCACACACGCGGACAGCATCGCCACCAGAGGCCTCGGTCTCTGCAGTCAGTTCTCACCTCTGCAAGGCGCGTGACGGGTTGGCACCTGAGCACCGTACAGCAGGACGATTGCTTTCGTCTGTGACTGAAAACAGTGCAAGCAAAGCACGCCCACCGAAACTGGAAAAAGCTGTGCATAGAGCTAAGCCTGGGATGCGCGCCTCAAGGCAGGCAGGGTTGGTTCCAGTGCACCCAGGATTCGAACTGGTTTCCGTCACAGCTGAGTGGACTGCTGGCCAGGCACGGTCTCGTGGCTGTGCATACTTACACCCTCGGCTATTACATATCGAATTTGGCTGCGTATTTAATTCCATGTTTATTTATTTTATTTTCCAAGGTTATGTGAACTGTTTTCAACTTTGAATTGATTTTCTTCCTTGCTTTTTTTCCTGTGCAGCAGCTACAATGGTGCTGTGTTTTCAACTTGACATAATTGGAACGTGCATTTGCTTTCTTAGTCAAATGATACTTTACACCCAAAAATGTACATAGGTTTAAAATCTGGTGCTATGTGTATATCTTGAGATTTTAATTTGTTGAATTTTCTGAAAGATTACAACTTATCTGACATATTAATTTACTTGAATTTGTCGTAAAGTTAAACATCTTCATGTTTGCAAAGATTAGTTTTCATATTAATAGGTTATTTATTTTGCTTCTTGGCTAATTCAAAAATATTTTATCATCTTAATGTTTTCACTGGCTCTTTGCTGATAGTGATCATATAGTGTTCATATACACAAAAAGATGCGGCTCGTTTCCTTGCTTTACCAATTTTGTTCATTTTAACTCTGCAGAATACGCCATGCATCATTTCGTGCAAATTGCAGTTAGGGATCTTTCCATTTTAGACTCCTCGGATGCTTAACTGGTTTATTCCTGTATTAAGGGTTTGGATTTATTCTGAGGATTGCATCAGGGAGGAGGTGAGAGGTGCCGCCTGGTGTGTCTTCCAAACTGGCCCAGTGATTCGGCCCATCTTTCGTAACCGGGACATAGACATGAGCTAGAACAACAGGGCTGCGCCCACATCCCTCTCGCCCTTTGCCCTGGCCCAGTTCTGCTCACAAGAAACACTGGGCCCAGCTAACACAGCCCCACGTGAAGCAGAGATCTGGCAGGTGCCCGCTTTCTTTACTACAAAGAAAATAGATAATCTGAGCCCCAAAATAGGGTGGGAAATTTTCCTCTGAATAATGACAGTTGCTAGTTCTCTTGTACCATTTTGTTCCATTCCAAAACATTTGTTTACTCTCAAATAATGTCAGTCGTGCCCACAGCAGGGAAGAATTATTTTCTCTCGTTTCCATACACAACGTAAGTTTCTAAATATAAAATAAGTGTGGGTCCTGTTGATAATATTAGAACTGGCCTTTTTCCCATTTACAAGTATGTTAGAATTCCAGCCTTCAATTTTGTACCAAGATTAACTTACACTTTTAGATAGAAATATTCCTATGTAAAGAGTAAGTTTTAATTTTATCTGTGGCCTTTGGGATGTACAGAAAAAGGGAAGACTAAATCATGCATGTGCTCATTGTTCTGAAGACAGTAGCTGTTACTTCTGACCATCACGCAACACAGCCAGTTTTAGCTTTTCAAGCTCCACTCTTTTTTTTTTTTTTTTTTACTTTTGTAAATAATTTTATTTATGTTTTATTAATTTATATTTTTCCTAATTTAAGCATCTTTACGAAACAGGCACAATAATAGCCTTTGGTTTGTTGGCTGTTTCAATATTATTTCTTCAGTGTGTATATATTTAAATACCTAGTTAGTATGCAAATTAACCATTTGCTACTCTGTATGCTGCCCTCGTATTTTAGTGATTAATATGAAAATATCAGGAAAAATGTTCTCTCTTCACAGACAAGTTAAAAGTATTTAGCTTATCACAAGTAAACAATTTGTCAGTTAATACAATGTCTACGCTCTGTTGTTCAACACGTAGTTTTGCAATTAGACCTGTATAATGCTCGTATTTTTCTATGTCACTATTTACAAAAGATAGTGATACTGTTTTTCAAAATCCCGTTTTTCTCCTCGAGTGCTATTCATATCCTGAGACTGGGCCTCCTGTGGCCCGGGGATCTGTGGATGCTGTTTCAGTGAACCTTCGGACCAGCTCTGCAGATTTGCTGCCTGACTGTGTTCTTTTTCCCAGTTCTCTGTGGCTCCTTCTGAAGACACACGGTGTCTCCTGTGGGGTCCCCAGGGCCACTTCTCGACGCTGCTGAGTATGACGTGGTGTCAGGCACGCACTGCCCTTTCTGTCTCTCCTCTCTCAGGCTACTCAGGTTTCTCAGAGCAAGAGACACACAGAAAAGCTTGACTAGTCTCTTTCACACCCGCACACTTCAAAGTGACTTAGCCCATTGGATGGTATTCATTTGTTAGCTGGCTGATAAAAGTAACTACATTAAAGTTGTCCGGGTGTTAAGTTAAGGGTCTCCAGAAACAGGAGGGATGGTCGTTTCCATTCTGGTTTTCTGATATAGCTGGAGCTATATTCTGAACATCTCACTACACAAAAGCACGCCAGACGAACTGCTCAGCTGATTTGGTTGGACCCAGTGAAGCCCTAGGAGACCACAGCTGATGCATTCAGGCAAGCAGACTAGCGCGGAAAAACAATTTACCTGAAAGATAAGATTGCAAGACCAAAGCTAAGTCTAAGAAAGGCTAAATGGAATAAAATTTCAAGTTCACATTCAACAGAGAGTGACACGGTGCAGGTCAAGGAATTTGTCAGACGTGCGTAATAAAGCGGGCAGTCTCACTAAACTTGGGGGTGGCCACGTAAGATTTAAATGTAATGGAGATGTGTGCGCCCCTTGTTGGAGTAAGCCAAGGAGTGTGAAATACTAGCCCTTTTGCGACTCTTTATTTTGCTGTGTTATTTAAAGGATATTTTGGAGATATTTTTGGCATGTTTATGTATTTAAATTTGTATTGTATTATGGCATATTTTATAACTATTTATTTGTGAGATAACATGAGGGATATGTTTTCCTCCATTTTGCTGGTTTTCTATCTCACCTCACCAGAATCTTTCACGTGTAATTCACTGTACTCATGGTAAGTGGAATGGCACAGCTTTTATTCCAAATCCCAAATGGATGAAAGGCTTTGAGGCCTTGGTTCTCCTATGCATAATGAGCTTGTTGCCTCTCTCAGCAATAAAGGATTTGACCCTAAATCAGGGAATTCTAAGGTGCAGTTATTAATGCCATGTCTACTCTTCCCCACGTCTTGTGGCTGAAGCTCCAACATTTCAGTTCCATTCTGAGAGGCCTCAACCACGATAAAGCCCACAGTGTTCCCTCACAAGGTCAGCCTCAGACATCGGTAACTGGACCTGGTCTCCTGCGGGGGTCACAGGCAGACAGTGCTGGGAACTGTGGTTTTATTTGTCACAAAAACCATGAATCAGTCTGTAGGCATTAAACGTATTACCCATCTCTCTAGTCACTCATGATAAGCCTAGTCTAGTGATTTCAGGTAAGAATTTTAAGCAGAAACAAAAACCAGAGTGGGCAGTCTTTTGAGATGTTTGTCCCCCTGAATGAGGGCCTCACTAAAATCACTTAAGACTTTTTGATGTAAAGGTCCCTGTGTGAGGTAAGAAATATCACAATTAACTTTTCTCAGAATCTAAGCTCTTAAATCATTAATGATCACACAGGCCCACAGGTACTTCAAATGCATAGCGTATTTTCTTAACAGAAATTAACTACATAAAAACATGCCAGTGGATTTCTGGTTTCTTTGGAATGGATGATGACTTGCATAGTGTTTGACTCTTGTCTTGAGATCCTCTTACGATAAATCAGCGAGGGGCTAGTTGTCTTTGCACACTTTATTTTTGAGATTGATTTGAATTTGTCTTCGGCCACCAAGTCAAAAATTTACGTTCAGGAAATGAGCAAATTCCCCTCATTCATCCTGTCTCCAGTCAGTCTTTGATAAATTGGCATCAAGGGTGAGATGTGAAGGCGCGTTACACAGAAAACTAGTGCCAACCGCCAGACAGTAACATGAAAAATAAGAATCCATGAACATCCTCTTCCTGATAACCAGACCTCTGATATCACACCACCGTGATCATTAAATCGCACTTGAGCAGGTGTATTTATACACATTTGGATTTCGTATTTACTGAGCCCAATGTACTTCATGCTGCCCTATCGGATAGGACAAGTTCAAGAAGGAAGACTAAATATGCAACAGAAGAGAACCTTACCATATAAAGAGAGTTTGGCCTGTGTTTCCCTAACCCAAATAGTCTTTAAAAAGAAATGTAGAATCATTTCTGTGCTCAAATCGTCCATGGCTTGTAGACAAGGTAAATAATGTGCTAGCATTTCTTTCTTTCTCTCACAATATTCCTTCACTCCTTTTGCCAATACCACCAACAAATGTTTAAATCTACTGTTCTTGATATCTGAAATGATCTGACATGTCTCTAGTGATTCTCCACCTAGGCTGATTTATTTTTAAACTTGGCAATTTTTGTACCTCAAAACACCATAATAGCCATAAATAAATAAATAGATAATTACAGGTGATCTTCTAAAGCAGGGATTTATATTAATTAAGCTCCTTTCAGGATACAAGTAATCAGATCTTACTAGTGATGCTTAAGAATAGCAATAACAGTTTAGCCAGCTTGAAATGTAGAGTATTTCAAGCCAGTCACCTAAGTTGGTATGACTACTCTTTCATCTCATACTGTGAGACAGAAAGACAACTGTCCAAAACCATGCTGGTAATTTTGTGTGCTCAGTCAGGCTGGGAAGTGATTTCCACAGTTCGTAGCCAACCTGTCAGATATTCAGGAGGAAAACCATAGCATACTGCCATAAAAGCACCAACTACAAATAAATCAGAACGCATTTGCTCTTGATGAATATGCTAATTTTGAACCCACTTGAATGATTTACACATTCCTCTCTCTGCAAGCGTTCCCACTGACAACTTCATCCAACTTTCAGAAAGTAGGTTGAGGAGGATTGGACTTCATTTTGCTAGAGAGACATTGTTAGTCTAATGCAATAGTTTTCGGCTCTCTTTCGTGGAGATTGTGGGGCACTTCTCTTTGCAATTTCCTACTCAAGTATTTAGTGCTTCTGTAAGCCATTTTACTTACCTGAAATTTAGAGTGGGCTGTTCCCATCATTTGAATATGCTTGTTTTACATAATCTCTCTGTAGGTGGTTGTTTCCAGTGTCACTTACTGTATTTTACAGCTTGTTCTACAGCCTTGATATGCATCAGATTTGTAAAACAGTTGAGTGAACTGTTCTTTGAAACTTTATTTTTTTAAATTTTCTTATGAATATGATATTACAGAACTGAGAAACATGTTTGATTATCTGATTTTTTTTCTTTGTTGTATTCGATTGTGTCACTCCAATTCAAATAAAAGCACTTTGGCGAAAGATAATTTCTTTGAGCTTTTTGGATTACATATCACAGCTCCTGAACAAGTGTGCCATC